GGACCTTGTTGTTTTATGACCCACATCGTGGTGCCCACTTCAGATTTTGGAACCAGTATATTATGTACCAATACCAATAAATATACCAATAAATATACCAGATTTTTGTTTTTGTTTTATACACTACTCTTATTTTAACTGCATTTTTACTGTAGTTTATTGTTATTTACTGTTATTGTTGTCTGTACCTTATATGTTCTGTCTGGAACAGGTCCCTCTTATAAAGGAGTCCTCCTGGCTCAATGAGACTAACCTGTATAAATAAAGGTTGAATGAATGTGTTATCACGTGGTATCAAAACACCTTGAAACAAAAATGTTGAGTAAATAAAAATAGAAGGCATTAAAAGGGGAAAACCGTGTTTAATTTCACTGAGCGACCGCTGTGTGTCTGTGACACTGAACTAAAACGTTTTGTCAGGTCTTGCTCAACAGTTTGTACTTTTCATTTCGTTTTTCTCTTAAAGGTTTCCTGAACAGCCGGCTGACCTCTCGGACTTTAACACGGATCGGTGCTGTTGTGATAAATGCAGCGTCTGGCTTTGTTTAGTTAAATCAAACCATCACCTGGATGGTAGTTTATATTGCTCCAAAACCTTACTGTTCAGAATCAGTGGAGCGCCCACAGTTACAAGCACTAATGCACTTCTATACATCCTCTGATAAAGTTAGTCAGTTTACTATAGCTTTTGATACTTTAAACAATTTTTTTAAATGTGAGAAATGTCCAAATTATGATTCTGCTTTCGTAAATTGAAAAAGAAGGCCCATTTTGTCTTTTCCAGGGGACCAGAGCTATAAACTAACGTTGATTTTAGAGCAACAGTGTCTATCCTTAAATAAAATATAAATAAAAGCTGCACTTTAAATTCCAGTGCAGACAGTAGTCATGTAATTTAAAAAGTGACATAAAAAATACACGTTATTTGTTTAACTCTATTTTGAGCAGACAAGCAAATATTCCCTTAACCCTTTTTAAGTTTCTTGTCTGCAGGCGGACACCTGAATGCCTCATTCAAACAACTAATAAATAATTAAATTAATCAAACAGTCCACATGGCACAGGAGAGTTTGCCCAATGAGCCACGTCGGACCCCATCCAGGCTCACCCTGATTTGTTAATCCTTGGAGCAAATGAAAAAATAAAATATATCAGGTCTGGAAATTCAAACGCAATCAACTCCTGAGCTGATGGTTCAGTCAGTTTCTAAAATTTACACCCAAGAACAAGCAGTGTGGCAATACAAGGGTTGGCTCTTGAGAATGACCACAATAAATGGGATTTACACACTGCAAACAGGGTACATACTGTAAATGAAAAGACATCAGATTGAAGTACAAATATGGTCCTCAGAGACACTTTAAAGGTTGGTGGTTTTATCTGAAAAATCAGACTTAAACAAAAGAACCATCAACCCAGCTGAGGCAGCTCAACAGTGACAGATGTAATCATTTGGCATCAATAGGGGAAGTCTCAGCCAAATCCTCAATCAAAAAATAAATATTTGACAACTGAGCACTGCAAGTCGATTCAAAGTAAAGTCTACTCTTGCACTGCTTTTTGGCAGTGGTGAATAAAACTTCACATCTTTAATAAACATGTCCATCATGATTTAGTTCCTTTAGATTGTGTAAGGCAGTCCGATCGCTTCAGGCATTGACATCACGAAGTGGCCAATCAAAATGAATCTCTTCAAGGCAGGAACCACTGAGTTAATGAGTGCTAGTAGAAGATCTTTCTAATGACTCACGGCTCTGTCACACTAACGGTTTACAGAACTTATGTTGACTTATGGAAGTTTTGTCCAACATGTACGCTGCAGATGGAATAAGAAAAAAATAAACTGGAAACCATTTTTGGTCTTATACATACTGCATTGATAACGAGATGAATGAATATACAGATGCATCTAAAAAAATTGCATATCATGAAAAAGTTCATTTTGTTGTCAGTCATTTCAGAAAGTGAAACTCTCATATTGCATAAATTCATTACACTTAGCAAAATTTTCCAAGTCTTTACTTCTTATATTTATTATGATTATGTCTAGCAAATATTGAAAAAAAAATAAACTTCAGTGTCTCAGAAAATAAGAACATTCCACAGCTAGTTTTAGTTACTTTTGTCAGTGTGGGCAGGAGCCGAGTCCTGCTGGAAAATGAAATCATCTCCATAAAGCTCGTTAGCAGAAGGAAGCATGACGTCTCTAAAATGTCCTAGATGCTGCGTTGACTGTGAATTTCAGAAAACACAGTGGACCAACATCAGCAGAGGACATGACACCAAACCATCACTGACTGTGGAAGCTTCCCACTGGACTTGAATCAATGTGGATTCTGGGCCTCTCCACTCTTCCTCCAGACTCTGGGACTTTGATTTCCAAATGACGTGCATAATTTACTTTAATCTGAAAAGAGGACGTTAGACCACTGAGCAACAGTCCAGTTATTTTTACTAGTATGGGTCAGCTGTGGCTGAGTGGTTAGAGCAGACGTCCCCCCCAGTGGGAGAGTTGGGGGTTTGATTGCATCAGCAGTCACATGTTGAAATGTCCCTGGGAAAGACACTGAACCCCTCATTTCCTCTGATGTGTGTCCCACTGGTGAATGAATGTAATCTAAAGCACTGATTAATCTCTACAGATCCAGATTATCGTTGAAGAGATTTAGTATGAATGCGTGTGTGGAGGTAAATGAGGGCACTGATTGTGTTGTAAAGCGTTTTGAGTATCTTGATTAGATAGGATGGCGCTTTGTAAATACAGTCCATATACCATTCTTTTTCTCCTCAGCCAGGTAAGACGCTTCTGACGTCCTCTCTAGTTCAGGACGGGCTTCACTTGAGGAACGTGACGGTCTTGTTTAGGAGGTAATCAGCTGATCAGGGTGTGACACCAGGAGTTTCCAATACAGAAACTCTTCACAATATTTTAATTTTCTGAGACTGAATTTTGTTTTTTCAATATCTGTAAGCCATAAGCATCAACAAGAAATAAAAACTTGAAATATTTCACTCTATGTGTAATGAATTTATTTAATATACGAGTTTCATGTTCTGAAATGATTGATAAAAAAAGGACCTTTTTCACAATATTCTATTTTTTTACACACCTGTAGAACCTATGAGTAATTTATCCATGACTTGTCTCCAGCTTATACAGAACTTATGTAAGCTTATGTCAGCGTCTTGACTTGTGCAGAGCTTATGATCAATGTGAGTGTAATTTATGCCAAACTTATGCAGAGCATGCTGGAGCGGACTGCCACGGGGGCAGCTGTCACAGCGACATACAGCATCAGTGTATAAAAGAAAAACATGCTGATGGAAATCATATAAGTTTGGTGGAAGTTTTGAATAAGCTGCCAGCACAGACATACATACGATGGCAATTTTTTTTTTAAATGCAGACGCCTGCCAATAATTTTGTACACACACAAAATTTTCTGTGAATGCCGACATGTTATTCATAAGTTCGGCATAAGTTTCAGGTATGCAACAGGTAAGTTTAGTACAAGTTCATCCACGTTACATGTAAGGTACTCGTAAGTTCACGTATGTCGGAAACCAGCTGGACGTTTGTGAAGCGTCCTTATTTAGAACCTAAGAGCAACTTACTTCCAACACATCTTTAACTTGTGTCAGACTGATGTACAACTTACACTGACATATTTAACATACAGCTGACAACCCTAGAACTTACTGAACGTGTCTGTATTTTACAGCCAGCATACTTGTCAGCATTTAAGGGTTCAGCTAGTAGGAATGGGATATATGGTTCTTTGAAGGGAGCCGGACCTTGATGATCAGTTTGCTCCACAGAGCCACTGAATTTTAAATGACTGTGACACCATCGCGTATGACATACATCATTAGGTATATTGTACATCATTAGGTACGTCGTATGACATTAGGTACATTGTGCGTCATTCGGTATGTCGTACGTCATTCGATACGTCGTATGTCATTAGATACGTCATATGTCATTTGGTACTTTGTATAACATTTGATATGTTGTACGTCATTGGGTATGTTGCACGTCATTAGGTACGTTGTATGTCATTA